CCTAAACCCTAAATCCTAAACTGTTGAACTCTTGAAGCCAAGCTGAAGGTTGACCTTCAGCCTCTACTCGGAGTTCCTACTGCAAGTCCTACATTCGGGACACCTACTGTACGCAACTAGTTGGGATGCCATCCAAACACAGGAGCGACACGCTCATATGTTTCTTGGGGGCCTATGAAAATGATCTTTGGAGGTCCTTGCGTTTTGATGTGCAAAGCCAAGTCTCCCTCGAAGGCAGCATCAGGAAGCCGATCGATGGAACAGCGCCAGAGCTCATCCGGCTCCCTGCGACTTTTCCACAACTCGCCGCGCTTGACCCCGCTTACATACTTGGAGCCATATAGCTCGCAGTAGGCGGCGCAACAGGCTTCATCCACCTCATAGGAACGCCAGGTCGGTAATGGCTCTCTTGCAGGCACAGCCTCTTTGAAAGCCAAGCGCATGCCACCAACTCCACTGAAAAACTCATAGACGCTGCGCACAGCAAATCTGCAACTGCGGATACATCCTCTCCCTTTATGCTTGCGTATCCGGTGGCCTCTCGAGATGTGCCCAGATATGCAGATGGCCCCAGCAAGGAATGTGAGGTGACCAGGCCGTGTAGAGCTGCGAGAAGGTTTGCCACTCGGGCTAATGGAGCTTTGCACTGGAATGCCGCCTGAAGCCGCTACCAACACCCCTTGGCAACAGGTGAAACATGCCATGGCTTCTGATTCTACAGGGTTTAGGGTTTAGGGTTCAGGGTTTAGGGTAAACTGCTAGTGCAACATCATGGCTGGCCTGGCCTTAGTTCTGAACTGATGGTGCGTATTGCAGCATCCTGCTGCGCTCTCAATGTGAGGACGGAGAGGGCTTTTCATAAATAGGGGCCCTTAGACACAGTCAGCATACATAAAGATTATCAAGAGAATGCGGTGTCCGTTGGTGGAATTTGGCTATCTTGCTGGTTATCTCTTCATTCGCTGCCTGCATACCATTTACCTTGATGAAAATGCCATCCAATTGCGAAGACCAAGCAAGAGCTCTGACTTTTCAATATTTGGGTTCACCCTCGGAATTTAGCTTTTAGCATTGATGGTGCCATGGTTCACTTAGGCAGGCGTCTGCCCAAAACCACAGGTTATAGATCTTCGTCTGCTGTGCGCAAGTCGATTCAACGTACATGGGAACAAATATATAGCTGGCTATGAGCGCCTGAGGGTCTGATGCTTGGGAAATAAGACCTCAGGCTCCGTTTCTAGAGGTTCTTGGGCTCAAGTGCTCACTTTATGCTATGACACCCATGTCCTGGCCTGCATGATAAGCCTTGATGGCCCACGGACACATGCACAGGCATCGGGCAGACTCTCCTCTATGCTCAGTCAGTAGTCCTTGCTGGCCAGCCCTAATTATTGCACGTTTGGGGACTTGCAAAACCGTATGTTCTAGAGGGCCTAAGAAACAAGGAACGAAAACATGCCGTGTATGTAATGCTGCATCCTGAACATCTTTCAATGAATTTCACATACACAGCCGATGCGCTGGCCGAGAATGACCTGGGCTTCCGTGTATAGGAACCTTTCTGTCACAACCAAAGACGAAACCGCGCTTCAACTGCTGCATTAAATCTGCAGGAGCTTTGGAGGACGACTTTGCAGACCCATAACTCATGGGATTTAATTAAGGAACAACTTCATGAGCATAGGAGGCGCTAACACAACAGCATTTTGCTTGCCAGCTTTTCAAATCGAATCCTACGGTGGATATTACGAAAAGAATCCTGCATGACCCTACGTACCTTATACATTGGGAATTATAGTTAGTAGCATAGTGAAGTCATGCAGGTTTTGATTATCAGCATTATTTCCTGCAGTCTGCCGGGTAAGAGGTCATCTGTTCTACTTCACGCCCTAAGCCGTACTGGTAGCCAAGGCTCCTAGTTTGGAAACACGACTAGGTAGATAGTACATCATTATTCTGGTATCCCAGATTCTTTTCGACTACGCAGTTCTGAAATACATAGGCCTTGGGAAGCCCATCTGTCAGATATTTTCCGCCCTTCCGGTAGCAAGAGCATTTGGGCAAACCAAACTTCTATAATGAGGAACCTGCAAGAATCATATGAAAGTCATATAGGTTCCTTGCGTTAGGCAGTTGGGTTTCCAAAATCCTCACAACCCTAAACCCTAAACCCTAAACCACATGGAGGACTCTCTGAAGACTGCCAGGGGAGCCTTCAGCGACGTCGCTAGAGGGTTTCTGCGGTCTCTCGTTCGGCGGCAGCCTGTCTGGCAGGACGTGAATGCACTTAAAGGGCTTAGGGTTTAAGATTGCAAGTAAACCCATCTTGTAAAACAGGAAAGCGGGGGGGAGGTGATGGGAAGGCTTGATGTGAAGGGCAGGGCTGCTAAAAACTGCCACGGCCGTGAGACGCTTACCAGGCTTAGCAGGATTCAGGGTACCCCTACTGTTGTGGCTTACCCTGTATATTCTGCCGTGTGAGAACTCACGTTCAGCTAGACAGCTTGTGGGATGTGAAGATCATCCCTTTCCACTTTTCGGGTCTGGGTTAAGGTTTAGGAGCACTTCCGATATCTGAGCTCACTACACTTGCCAAACATCCCCTGCCCCCGATCGATTTCGTCCCGACATTTGGACCACCACTTCTATAGGGGCCAGAGGCCTCTACTCCAAAGGAGCCGGGGAGGCAGGACTTTAATTAAGAGCCCCGGGCAATAACGCTCTGGCGAGTTGGATTTATCAACTCCAGCTCAGAAGCTAGGAGTTCATATCATCCATAGGTGGGGCAAGCTTGCCTCCAAAAAGCCAGCGCGTCAAAGGCACACACAAAGCATACCAAACAAATGCATCAATTATTTCTAGAAAGCAGAGGACCTCCCCCGCGTCTGGAAACTCCAAAGCACATCGAAGCACTACATGCCAGGCCTCCCCAGCACTGGAATGTGTGGTTGACCATGTCCTGCAGGCGAGCGATGAGGATGGGATCGTCCACTTTGTCCTTTCGGAGCTGGCAGTCGTAGCTCACTGTGCAACAGTTCTGCGAATCACAGCAACGCTATCCCGCTTGGGTGACAACAATTCTGACCTTCCTGGCTTCGAGCTGCTAGCCTTATCTGGGGTTTCCCAAGATTAAGGGTACCTTTTTGGGGATCCCCATAGTAAGAATTATAGATCCCTCTATTCAGGGAAACTACAATCTAGCCAAAGAAGTCCTTTCCCACACGCCTCGTCTTTTCTACTAAACCTCCTCAGACCTCCCAAACCAATGTAGGCAATTTGACCCAAGGCAGTCCTTGCGCACTGCCAGGCTTGTGCCCCTGAAAAGGACAGTTGCTTTGATGCAAATTTTGTTCATCTAAGGCAATGCCTATAACTAGTACCTACATAGGGCTAGATGGGTGCCTCTGCTGCGGTAGGATCTCTAAGACAAACAAAGCTATCTCTCACAGAGTAGGATATCGCTGATAGTCAACCCTCAACGATCCTCCACTCGTGTCCATGAATCTAGAGGGAGTCTACTGGGAACCCCAAGTAGGGAACCCCAAGAATATAGCAGGAATATAATGGAATTGAAGGATCCTGGTAGGGCTATGATATACCTACTATATTCTTGGGGTTCCCGGTTTGGGGTTCCCAGTAGAGTCCCTTTACATAAATCTTCATTCAGCGCGGACGGCACTTCTGGCAGAAAACTCTTCTGGACCAAGATGGAGGCGCGTGCTATTTTCGCATCTAGCTTCTATAGCTTTAGTATAGGGTACCGCCAGCAGACCTCAGACTGATATTGATGATAGTAAGTAGGGTCTAGCGTAGATACTCGGGCCCCAAAGTATTCATATAAGAACTACTTTGGGCCCTATGTGAATACGGCATACGTACATACATGGAACCTTTGGGTGAGGGATCCGTAGCTTGCAAAAACCTCAAATGCGTAGACCCAACACCATGCGTGTTTAGCAATATCCTCATGAAATCAGAGGTCTGTGGGGTTTGGTCTTCATCATGTATGGGCTTGAGGGTGCGAAGCGTTCGATTTAGCACATAGGGACAAGAAAACCCGGAAAAAGCGAGGTTGTCCATTGCGTGTGAGGTTGTCCATGGCGTGTTCAGGCATCTAGGGATGGCATCATGAGTCTCTGCGATGTTTTGGTGAGGATATTGCTAGGGGTTCGGGGACGCCTTACAAGAATCCAGCTTCTAGCCCTCTGGTCGGGATCTGAAACTTCCAAACCCTTCCAAATACCTATTTTGTCCGGTTGCACAGTCGTCGCATATCCTTGAGATTGATTCTTTGAGCCGCCTCACCGTTCTAAAGAATGGTACATAACAATATAAGAATAAAGTAGTATAATAATATAAAAATAAAATAACATAGTACTACACTAATAAATGGTCAGCCGTTTTTTATGTGATGAGATCAGGGCTTGCTCCACTGCTCTCTTTGCTTCACTCACTGCACACAAAGCACTCTGAGACCTTCAGCTCACAAATGCTCGCCAAGGCACTTTTCCATGGCCCACTCCTGTCGTGTTCGACATGGACTTAACACTTCTAGACTGGGGACGTTCTCCATAAAGGTGCGCCCTTGGGACATGTAGGGCGAACGTGGGATGGCAATGATGGCATCGGGGTCTCTTGGGATTCTCATGTTATTTCTCTAAAAACTTGGACATGAATCAATGCCAAGCAATGTTGGCTGGCTCACTACCACCCTGCACAGAATAAGGTCACACACAGCGATCGAGGGTCTCCCACTTGAATGAGACTTATGAGAATGGGAAATGTGCGAAATGATGAGCATACATAACTCATCAGAACTCCTACATAAACCCTCTTCGGCCCTCGGACGGGCCCGCTCATTTTTGTAAAGCTGCAGCAAAAGCCCAAGATTCCAGTTTGACAGTTTGAGAGGCAGACAAAATGAACCAACTAGACTTGCAAAACTGAAGCCACACCAGCTACCACAGAACCTGTAAAACATAATTTTGAACCTCCTCGGCTATCTTTGGGCTGAATGAAGCATATGTTCGCATTGACCACAAACATAAACAAAGAACCAACACACCACATATCCACATACTTTTGGGATTCAGGTAACTAAAATCCGCATCCTCTTCCATGAGCTCCCTCCCTGGCCGGCCGTCCTTCGGCATGGCAGAGCCCAACCTCAGGGATCTGGTTTTACTCTTGAAGCTGAGAGGTTCAAGGCTCAGGCTCAGAAGCAGATGTCATGGCAAAGGCAGTGCTATTCCACTCGCGAAACCAGCCACTTTTCTCCCTGCTGCCTGGAACGGTCCCGCCCCGTCCTACTGAGCTCTAAAGGCGGCTTCTCTTAGACTGCAAGTTGATACAGTTGAAAATGTCTCAGGCTTCGCCTGGCATGGCCCGTAGGCACTTGAATGGTTTTCTGTGCTCTCAGGCAACTCAGTACAGCCAAGGGAAGGGGTGGCGAGTGAGGGCAGCCTGGGTAACGGCTCCGGCGAAAGCCAGCATAGCCAGACGTCCATTCCTGGGTTGCTATTGGAGGACTTCAAGTCAACAGAATAGAGGTACAATGTATATATACATCAGTAAATGACACGGCTGGTTTCCTTACTGTGGTAACTTAATATTGCTGAACAGCACAGATTCTTCAGCTCGGAAAGGCGCATCTTCTTTTGGCCTTCTTCGTCGCTTGGGAACCAGCTGGTCAGGCCGTAGTCTCCTGCAACCTCGAGAGAGTTCCACTCAAAGACCTTCTTCGCACAGCAGAGCTCCACAATGCTGATCCAGAACAAGATCTGCGCATTGACACCAGAGGCACCGCGGAAGGCCTCATGAGCATCGATAGACACTGGCACGGCTTCGAAGGAAAACTTCTCACCCGGCAGGCGGACAAAGTCTGGAACGACCATGCCGACCCATGCAAGCATCGCCAGGCGCCCGTGCTTCAGCTCGGCCTCGCGGAGGTAAGGCACCACCTCAGTCTTCGTGGAGAAGCCGAGGGGGTCGAACTCGAAGCGGCCCCAGGCTCCTTCAGCACCCACCAAACCCTGTGCGAACTTGCCGTTGTCCAAGAGGTCGATGCCAGAGTCCTCATAGGCCACTGCCAGCTCGCGGCGAGCTGCCTTCTGTGCAGTGCGTGCCGGCCGTTGGGAAGCTGCGAGGGCGGCCACGGCGATAACACTGCCTGCGATGGTGGCGACACTTGTGCCGCAGCCTGTGCCGGCGGCAGTAGCGGATCCGCGCAGGTGCGAGGCACTTGCTCCACGTGCTCCTAGGATCGGGACGAAAGCAGGTGCCACAAGGCCGGCTGCCGCCGCGGCGGCGATGCAGGCTGCTGTCTGGCGGCTTGGCATGCTGAAGTTGCGCGGCGGTCGGCGGGGTCCTATAAAAACACACGTTCCAGCCAAAATGGCTGCGGAGTCACATTTTGAAGTCAAGAAAATTGAAACGAGTCTCCCAAGCGACTCTCTATGCTCATCTAAGTTTGCGGCAGACCATGAGGTACATGGAGGGCATGGTGCAAGACAACTGCCTCCTACATCACTGCATCTAGCAAGAACAAGAAGCCCTCCAAAGAGAACAGTGCTTGAAGCAGTCTGAAATCCGAAGACTCAGGGGTCCATGCACATGTGCCGCATGGACCAACAAAGAGAAAAAACACAAAAGTAAGTGCTTACAGACTTACACGCTACAAATCGGAATCTCATTCTGGCGCACCTGTTTGGTCACTATGATGCTGCCGGCTGTCGTTCCAATATGTGGTCGGTACTAACACCGGTGCTACAAAGGGCTGCCAGAACGCCAGTGACTTTGATAACGCCTACACATCGCGGATTGCCAGCAATCAGTGTCCGTTGTTGGCACTGTGGACATGAAGGAGTCGTATTGTATCATGAGGCCTCAAGAAAGACCAACAATCTGACAACCTAATCCTCAAACCGTGTGTTTCCCTGTAACCCCTCAGATGATTCCTACACTACCTTAGCCCCTCAAAGGATTCCTACACTACCTCCCTTAAACATCTGGAAAGGATTCCTACACTACCTCCCTTGAAAACTGGAAAGGATTCCTACACTACCTCCCTTAACAATCTGGAAAGGGCGAGCGGCCGTTCGACCAAATCCGCTGCGAAGTCGTCGAGGCCGGCTTTCAAAGCAGCCTCCAGCACTAGCTGTTTACTGGCGAGTCAGCAAGAAAGAAGGGAATATGTTATAGGGTTCAGGGTTTATATGGGGATCATATCACTTCATTCCCTACTAACCACTATTAACGTTGCACGGTTTGAGATGGGGGCGTAGGTTCCCCCCCCCCTTGAATGTCAAATACTCCCTGTATAGCGCAATTGGATTACTTGGTGTTGGGGGGGTGGGGGTGTAAAACAAAATCAGGGGAGAGGATTAGCTGCTTCCACGCTGCAGATGGGCTGCTTCCAGGTTTAGGGTGTTTAAGGGCAGCAACTCGAGAGCTTCCTTGTTGGCCTTTGGAGCCCGGGTCCTTACTTATGAACGCAATAAGGGCACACATTTAGATATCCCGAAGGCCAACTCAGCTACTGAATATCCTTGGCATGCCCAGGAATCTCCGGCAACTATCTATGGGGTTACCCAACATTAGCGGTACCTTTTTTGGGGGGGTCCATCTACTAAGGATTATAATACTTTGGGGCCTCTTTAGGGGTCCCCCTATTTATGGAACATCTCCTTTCCAGAAAGGACCCCATAGCTCCCCACACGCATGACGTGTCACAGCGTCACGCAGTTTGCGAGCATAATGTAGACCGATGATTAATAACCCCCCTCCTTTTAAGGGCCAAAATATTAGGATCCCCATTATAATCCCTATTAGGGGGAGGGAGAGATGGAAGAAAGCACGGCTAGGGTTGTAGGGGTTTGATGGTTTAGGGTCCAGGGCTCAGGGGCATCTGCCACCCCAAAATGACCCACCTTGTGCAGCAGCAGTAATTCCGTCCTCAGCTGATTTCAGCCAGTCTCTGTCAAAGTTTGAAAAGCTTGTGAGCGTTCTTTCCGATGTAGCATCAGCGACATGCACTGCGGAAAGTTCAAACCCAAAGTATTCACGTAGCTAAATGGTATGTAATCATATGGAAACCCCGTTGGGCCCCAAACACTTATAATTAGTACATACCTACATGAACCCCTTGGCATAGACCACAGACCAAACCCGTCCCGTCCCTTTCCATAGACTAATTATGCTCCACAGGCACCTTCCGCCCGTCAAAGTTGGTCTGATACTCACTATTCCCACACTTCAAAAAACAACTTCCTGACGCCAAACGTATCATATGACGTCTCTTAGAGGAATTGTCTTCTGTTGGGGGTGGAGGATGCTAAGTATTAATGGGAAGCAACTATGCCCTGAACACAGGCCGAAGATGATAACGTAGAGTCGAGCCCGGACCCATGAAGCTCTGGGCTCCAAGCCTCCAAAAAAACTGTGGTCGCCTTACCATATGTTTGAATGATTCGTTTGGGTTATACTATGATAAACAAGAAACAATCCTAAGGAGACCACAGAAAATGCCCACTTCGAACGCTGAAGTCAATGAGCAGCAACTGCTTCAAGCCCTACAGCCGATATACAATATCTATAGTTTGAATCATCCTGAGTCTCAGCCACCTCCTTAAGTTGAACCTTAAAGGTTTAGGGTTTAGGACTTAAAGCCCGTAAATAATTCCTTTGTAGAACCGTAAAATATACTGAAATGTATCTGCTTTACGCTATTCGGAGCCCTGGGGAAGCTTTCTCCCCCGTAAGCCAAGTATCTCTGCAACAATGACACCCGTGCTACTAACCTGCGCAAGGTCCAGGGTCCAGGGTCAAGGTTGAGGGCTTTAAGGTTCTGACTTTCGGGTTCAGGGCCTAGAGTCACTCTCGAGAAGCCTTGGTCTGTTTGGAGGTTTTCCATTGGCAGGCGCAACTGATTGACTTATCCAAGCAAAGCCCTGTCCAGGACCCTTGCCTAGCTGATGCACATGCCCTGGCACAGAACGAAGAGCCTGTTTCATATGCGAACCACAATTCCCCTGACTCCACCACATCTGCCTCCACAAGTCTTTGAACGCTTATGCTAGAGTCTGAAGGGTAGCCTATGTAGCGTCAAAAGAGTGAAACAAAGAAGAAGTCATTAGGCTACCACAGTGCTTCTCAAAACCTGTTGGTCCCGTGCGACAAAACCAGAGGGTGATGCGTAATAGTGTGGAGAGGCCCTCATTTTCTAAAGGGGGGCGCAGCCTCATCCACGTGCCCTCGTAGATGATTCCTCGCCTCAAGTACCAAAAGCTTGCAGCGCTTGAGGGGAATCTACTGTTTGCTCAACCTCGCAGTGGGCCAGGACAACCCAGGTAATCAACACTGTAAACAGATTTGCGAGGAGGCTTCGGGCAACTCCCTGCTCCCCCTGCTCCTTCAGCTGCTGGACCGGATGGAGGAGCGAACAAGTATAGATCGTAGTGCACATGTCAGCCTAGACTGTTTGGAGTCAGGATATGCGCTGGCAGCGTGTGTTCGCGTTGCCAAACGCAACAGGCATGACCTCAAACCCTTTGTCAGACTGAGTTAGTAAATAATTTGTGCTAGGCACTAGCAGGAGAAAACAACAATAAAACACCCTTTAGGAGGCCTGATGAGTTTCAGGAAGTCCCTGCCAGTCCATGCATGCTACCACCCAGCCCAAAACTGGATTGGACCATATCCAGACCCCCTGCGCCATACCAAAACCACGAGAAACCAACAACCACTTTATCGTATATGGGGATCTTATTGATATACCCAGAGCCATACTCTATCCACTTAAAGGGGGACTATAGGCTTTGATGAGGCTCAGGGGTTTGCCAGCAAACTGGTCAGTCAAACAAGTAAGGGCATGGACCTCTGTCATGTCCTGAACACTCACGAAATTCCATGCGCATTGGCGACCTCATAAAGCAAGTTCGACCTATAGTTGTTTGGGCGCCTGCACATTTGTAGCTTATCTGTAAGACTTTGAGCTTCTTCTTCCTTCACGAGAAGTTGTCCATTCCGAGCAATATCAGGCATCAATAGATATTTGGCATGCTGTGATACGGTTGTGGTAAAAGCGATGTCTGTCATGAACCCGCAACTATTTCTGGAGGCACACGATGCACTATTGGCAAAATAGATAGAATGAGAGAAGCATTGCAAGTACTGCTGCGTGCCGACGCGCGTCCTCTTTCGCCAGACTGCTGCAGCCCTTCTTCTGCGCGGAGGATGCCAACTCGCAAATGCCTGGTACGTGGGCCACATGCTAGCCTTCTTTAATTTTGCCATATGTGCAAAATCGAAGGATCAGGCTGGCACAGGGCCGGGTTGCATTTTTGGCTGAGCTCCCAAAGAAAAAAAGGCGCCCTGATGTGGCGCTTTCCGCAGTATGTGGACCTTCCATAATCGACCCCCAAGAACTCAGTATTCAGGAGCCTTGGGTTACACATACAACAAGCACTACGAACATGGAAACACACAAGCGCGCATGCCAGTTTCGTTAATCCACTGCAAGTCCCCGGAGGCCTGCTTCGGGTGTTACCCCAAAGAATTTCGAAACTGCGGATTCTAAATCGTGCCTCGAAATATGTGGGGTGAAGGATGCGGTATATAATGATTGTATAAAAAGGGTGAGGGTACATAGCCTTAATTAACACCCACCTCCTAAACGGTATCTGAGGTATATAGGGGAACATAATCAGGTGCAGGTTGAACCCTCTAACCCTCCTTTTTTCTTCTGGAGGCCCCTGGCATGAGGCCTCTGTTAAAGGGTGGCTATAGGGGAGGTTTAGGGTTCAGGGTTCAGGGCCTAAGGGGGATGTTGGGTCTATAGGGTTTAGGGTGTTCAAACTGTAATTCCGACGGCCTGAAAAGTCTGACCAGCATGTTTGGCAGCTTTTTGGCTGTTGAACTCAGGAAGCTCATATTCTTCCTACAGAAAAACATGACCCAAAAGGAGTGTTTAATCTTACTCTGGCTTGGTGACTATTAGGGGGTCCCCATAATAAGGATTATAGTATATTGGGGGTCGATGTTGGGGTCCCCTTATTTTGGGAAACTACCACAAGAGGCCTTCCCACTTTCGATTCTCCAGGAGCTGTGAGAGCTTCTCCCTGAATCCGAGAAGCGAGAACCGGGTGGTGAGGGGCATTCAGGGGTTTTAGGGTTGGTGGCGGGGGGGTGACCCTTACACAAACCACAACCAGAGCCTGAGAAACCTAGATTCGATATTGATCATAAAGTCAGCAACAATTCCCTAATGAGTTTGTTGAAGACAAACTATCACCAGAGCCCAAGAAACCTAGAATCGATATTGATAAAGCGTTCAATCGAG